ACTGTGATTGGCACACACAAAGGTGTGCGCAGAGACTTCTAAGGGTTAGTAGGAAAGTTACATTTAGAATGTCAAAATGTAAAACAAATTAAAGACCTAAAGTTCATCGTTCAACCAATTCCCAAGAAATAAATTATTGCCTTTTATAATGATTAATTCCACATTTTTGTTCTGTGCATCGCCAATGATGCAGCTTCGAAGGGGTACCAACTCAAAATAGTCATCCAAGCCTTGCCACTTTTTTACAATCACATTTTAAAAACTAATCACGAAAGCTGTGTTTGTTTACATTTTTACCTCAGTGCTGATCCATGCTCTGCAGCAGTCATCTCAAAAGCTCGAGATCTCAACATGGAAAGGTAACTCAGAAGGTGAGTGTCCCAGTGATTAGTTCCAAGGTATCAGACAGTCACAAATGAAATGTCGCATGAAGCCTCACAAGCCTGTGTTTATGTTGATCAAGGCCCGAGCCTCACTATTTCAACTGCCCAAGTCTAAAAATACCAGTCACATAGCATTCCACAAGCAGCCATCCGACAGACAGAGCTGCATGGCGCATGAACACACACGTACAAACACTCCATATAATACCCCCCAATACCCCCTTTTCAGAGAAGGAGACCCTTCTCTGAGAAGGAGATAGATTTCTTACTGAAAGTGGATCCCCATTCAGGGACACGAGATCCTTTTTGGTGAAAAGCAAATTCTTTATTAAACTTTATTTTTCTCAATATTTGCCAGCTGATCAATTACAGATTTTTTACGAAATGTCAATGAATCTCGAACAGGTTATGTAACCGATGATCTATCCAATAGCAAATAATAAACAACACTATAAATACATCATGCCACACCTTTTAAAATAGCCGTTTAGGTTGAGTTTTCCAAAAAATGTCAATTTCATCAAGAATTTAACATTTTCCAAAACACGAAAGCCAGAAACATGCCTGGACTTCCCGCAGACAATCCAACGGTTGTTTATTAATGAGTCACTTCTTTATTTACAGAACTCTCTCTATTTATTATTTGGTCATTTGACTGTGACGAAAGAATACCCCACACCCACCAAAACCTCTGCCTTCCCCCAATAAGCCACTGAGACTTTAAACACACCCTTTGATATTCAGTATCGCTAGACGTGATTGGCTTCCTGATGAGATGCTGCACCACTCACCAGACAGCCCGCTGGCAGACACGCAACTGTCTGAAACATAAACTCAAGTTTCACAACACCCTAAGACCACCAGCACTCGCTTGTGCAGACGTCACAGTTCAGCAGCTTGAGAAATATTGGAAACACGTACACTAAAATAACTATGTTCTTAAAGCTTTAAAAGGCACTGTTTGGTCAATCTGGTACAAACCTGGTTTTACTTCTGATTATTATGAGCAACAAGGTATTTTCAAGAGTATAGAGCATTGTCAGTGCAGATATTGTCATCACTATTGGACTTTAAGTGATTTAATGAGTAGAGGTTGCTCATTTTAAACGTAACGTTTAAAGGGGTCATGACATGTTGAGCCTTTAAGTGTGAGTAGATTGAATTAAAAATGTAACTATAGACGTTCCCGAACAAAAAACTAGATTGTTTCTTGTAAAAACGTGTTTCGTGCCATTGAGGAGTCAAATATGTAACGTCAAAAAATGAAGTTGGGCCTGAAATTAAGTTCTTGGGCTTAAAAACAATCGGGGCTGAGCAAATAGACAGTTTTGGTATGTCGTGAATAATTACAGATTCAAGGGTACTTACCTGCTAAGTGTATTTGGCTCAGCCTATAAGAACACTGACGTCTTGACATGTTACATTTTTGACGACGGTTCGAATCCCGGTTGGGGTGGCCTCAATTTTTAAAATGATTTCCTTTTGTCATTTTGTTTGATTGTTTTTACTCACAAAAGGAAACAAAATGAGACATTCTAATAATTGAATTGTTTATTACATTTATTTTAAATTGTGTTACATGGAGGAATCAGCCAACATTTACATCTGGGTCACCATTTAAAATGGTGACAACTCGTTTAACGAAAATCAATTTTAGTTTTAGTTAGTTTAGGTTCCCTGGAAACATGAGCCTCTGTTGAGGCTTTATTTAGCTGAAAAAACATCTAATATCCATCTTTTCTTCCTTTCACTGATTTCACTTCAGATCATATCAGCCAGTAAAAACACTTCACGCAATCCTTCTCTCTGATTGGTCTAGGAGTACTGAAGTAATTTCTTTAGTGGCTCGTTAATCTACAGTTCTAGTGTATTTTTTGTACTGGAGTTGAATTATCCGAGGGTGATGAGAAAACGTTCAGGAATAAAGCTACAGATACCGAGGTGATGAAAGTGCGTATGCATCTGATAAGGGATCAGACTCTGGCTCATAAAAGTAAGGTTGTATGATGTTTCCTCCAAACGTCATTACAGCGTCCATCAATATTCCTTTAATAAAAGGTTAATGGTTCAGCCTAGAAGTTGCTAGTAATTAATCACTAAGTTGACCGTCAGACAGTAACTTTGCATATGCTTCATGAATATGCAAATCAGTAGCCAATAGGTGAGTAATTGGGGAGTACTTACAAGGTTTTCCGAATTAAAATCTCAGCCCATTTCTGGAATAAGCCTGGGCTAGAAAATGAGGAGATCATGACCCCTTTAAAGAAAACCTGAGCAAAAATGTGGCAACCCACCTCACTTCCTGTGACAAAGCTATGGCCATAAACAACCACAAATGCCCTGTAAAAATGAGCTTTCACATATTGCTACATTTGTGAATCACAAGCCCAGTGGTTCAAAAGTACTGAGTAGATTACTTTTGTTGCTAACATATTTTTTTCGCTACTTTTTGTATTAAGACTAGAAAATATTTTTTTTAAATAAAAGTAATATATATACTCTTAACTCCACTAAATTTGAACGGACACTTACCATTACTCTTTACATTTTGATTCTGTGCAAAAGGTCACCATCTTTATCTATTGTGGAACATTTCTTTCAAGGATAATGCAGTACCGCCATCTAGAGGGTGCTGAAGAGATGCTATTTCCCTGTATGTGCTTATTGGCAAATTAGCAACTTGCATAAAAACTGGAGGAAAAAGATTAGGAATATCATAGAGACCTGGGGGGGGGGGGTGTTACTAAAAACATTACCGGTATATTATTTCACTAACTCCTCTATACCAACTAGACTGTTTACCATAGCAACCAATTTAACATAGCTCTACCTCAGCTTAGGAAAAAGTTAAAAAATGATTTAAAACATCCCAGCTCCGGAAAATCCTGTATGAATGGGGTAAAGTTTATAGTAATCATATAGTATCAAGGGGCACATTTTTAAAAAACAGTTTTAAACGGCGTTTGTGTGCAAATGATGCTGAAGAAGTAAAACCTGACATCCACATCAAGGAAGGGGGTGGGATAAGCAGTAGCTCGAAATCAATAAAAGGGTCAGATTCACATTTTACAGTTTTTTTTTATATTTATTTTTGCTTTTATTGGAACAGATAGGAAAGTATAAATGGCAGGAAGAAAAGTGGGTAGAGAAAGGGGGAGACTGGGAAATGATAACCTTTTTCCCTCTTTGATTAGGTAAAATATATAAGTAAATTGTATACAAATATATGGGAAAGTGTCCATTAAATGCAAAACAATATTTATGCAACATACAAATTACGAAGCCCGGCCCAGCTGAAAGCTCTTAATCCCATTGCTAAAGAGGCCACTGAGGTGAAGCTGCGGGTGAAGACAACTGTTGGAAGATGACTCACATCAACAACGGTCTACAGAGACATGCTGAAGCAACCCAGCAGCTGCTGGTCAAGTCCTCAAGGTTTTAATGAAGCCTGTCACGCATAAACACCAGCCTGAAGATTAATGAGCTGGCATAAAGTTCTCACTCACTGGAGCAAAACAATATCATTGCATTAGCTTTCACCATAAGCATGTGAAGAGTGACTGAGCACAACCATGAAACGAAGGATGGTGAAAACAAACCATCTTGATTCTTGAAGTCAACAAAATTAGAAGAATATTGCTAAAATAATGTTTGATCGAATTACTCTAACTAAATAATGTTTGAGAAGAACCAGTGTCCCGTGCTGGTGTTCTGCAAGTCATGAGTGAGGTATTTGATCTTTAATAAGCTCAGATCTCAAAGATGTGTGCTAGTTCACATGGTGAGCTTAATGGCCTACTGTATGTCTTCAATAACCTCAAAAAAATGTCAGAGTCAGAGAGCGCCATCTAGAGGTGTGTGTGTGTGTATGTATGTATATATATATATATATATATATATATATATATATATGGGTGTATTGATAAACCCTGGTACGACTCGGTGTGTTAATCAAAACACTTAAAAAGAAACTGAAATTATATTTTACGTTTTTCAAAACTATATAATTACGTACAATTTTCAATATTATTCATTCATTCATTTTCCAACTCGCTTATTACCCACTGCGCCACCGTGCCGCTATTTCAATACTAAAACTGTCTACATTAATTTAAATATTTTCAGACCGTAATACAAAAAATGGACCGATAAGGCAGTGCAAATCTAATTATCGTTGGCACCAATGATCAAGGCGCATTGTCACACACAATGTCACTTCACAATGAAACCCACAATAGGGTCTGCATGTTGAGGCCTTAAGAGGGTGTGATATAATCCATCCACTAGGGGGCAGTGCAAAGGTTTGTGCACTCAGAGTATGTAACAGTAGTCAGTTGTTTTACAATATTCCTCATTTGTCAATCAAATTATTGTGATGTTATATATTTTCGTTCATTCATATTCCAAACCGCATATTCCCTTTATTGGGGTTAAGGAGGTCTGCCTATCTCCAGCACACAATTGGCGAGAGGCGGGGCTAACCCTGGACAGGTCGCCAGTTTATTGCAGTTTATATATATATATATATATTTACATTTACATTTATGCATTTGGCAGACGCTTTATTCCAAAGCGACTTACATTTGAATGAACATATTTTTTTTCTGTCAGTTCTTGCTTTCCCTGGGATTTGAACCCACAACCTTTGCTTATTGTTATTGCGCAATGCTCTACCAACTGAGCCACAGGAAATATATATATATATATATTAATTACTAAGATTAGACAACAATAGCTATTTTATGTAATGAGAGGTTAGTGCACAGATTTACCTGCTCGCCATACTCCTCCATAAAGCATCGCCTATAATGTCAAAATGATATGGTGGTGTTAGAACTTTAAAAGAATAATAAAAATACTGTAAAACAAGTTCTCACCTCTTGATCTGGAAAACATCACTTTGCACAGGAGCTCCATTACCACTAGAAGAACCAAAGATGAGGAGACGAGTGTGAAAACTCGACAGGGGCTCAAGGAAACTAACCTGTGGGATCAAAACCATCACCAACACAAGAATGCATCACTTGAAAAGCAAAACAAATTGACAATGAAATGGTGTGGTGTTGTTTTGAGTTCTGATTATGTAAAATCATGTGCTTTGAGGATCTAATTCCAGACGGAACACCCAGTTACGTCTTATAACCCAAATACACTGTTTATCCACATGCCACAAGATTTCACTAAACGAATTAAAGCCATGAATGCACCAAGACGTTTTGTGCAGCCTGGAAAACATATATATTTTTTTTACTGTTTCCTTTCAAAGTTAAATTCATATAAGTGAATAAATAAAGTCCTGTGTAGAAAAAAAAACAACCATTTGCTCAAAAAAATAATTAATCTGACCATTTGAAAAAAAAAATTAAGCTAATTTCTATTCTACCTTGGAAATTGTGTAATAAAAATAATATAATCATACAAATCAAACAAAATCTTTGTTTTGATGTTAGCCCAATAAAATAATTGGACAACACATTTATAACAATATACACATATGTGCAGCCTGGAAAAGGCTTTCCTTTTACTGTTGATATCTCACTTTCCTTGCAAAGGTAAAATTATATAAGTAAATAACAAATTGAAAACAAAACTTAAGCTAATTTCTATTTCAAAACCTTGGAAATTGTGAAGTTAAATAAATATCTAATCATACAAATAAAACAAAATCTTTGTTTTGATGTTAGCCCAATAAAATAATTGGACAACACATTTATAGCAATGTCGTACACATTAAATGCCTTTTGTGTTAGGCCTCCTCCAGATTGAAATACACAGGGAGAGTGGACAGCAAAACGATAAACATGATTCAGCAATAACACAGTGCAACTTTATTATGCAAATGAGATCGCCTTATCTTAAATATCATATTTATACACCCTGCGTTGAAGTGATGATGCGCAAATGCCCTGCGTCACAGACTCACCAGAAAACAATATTTGTAGTTGCGAAGAGAGCGGAAGTCCATAGAGGTCTTTTCCAGGTGATCAGTGATAATAAACTACTAAGCGGATGAGCACCAGCAGGATGCTCTTCCTCTACCTCCGCCATTTCTGGTCCACCTGAGCTGAGCGTCTTGAAGGAAAGAGCCTCCTCCAGCGGGGCATCCCGGCTGCCGCATCCGCCCTGAAGAGCCATAGCAAACGAGCTCGAAAGCGCTCCGCAGTCGAGCGCACTGCCAACCGTGCCCGCAGCCCGCCCAGCTCCCCGCGCTCTCTCTCGCTTATTGTTGTTTACACCGACGTCACTGCTCTCGCGTCAGCTGGGCGACTTCCACCTGTTCTTGCTCACCTAAGCGCGGAATTTTTATATTAAACTTGTTCTGTATAGCATACACTCGAAAAAAGGTTGAAGAACCAAATCTGGTGGGGGAATCTTTTTGGTGCCATTTAACACTTCAACTGTGCTATTTAGAACCATCAATGAAATAAGTAAACTTTCATGATATATATGACCAGCATCTGAATATAGCACATTAAAAACAACAAAGAACTAGAACCACAAGTACCAAAAATGACACTACAGTATCTTCACGCCAACAAAGTGCTATAACAGTACTTCAAAAACAACACCTATAAAGAACCAAAAAGAGCTTTAGTGGGTTATTTAAACCAGAACAGTACTATATAGTACCCTCAAACTTTCAAAGAAGCAGCTGAGAACCAAAAAGAGCTTGAGGGGTTCTTTAAAGCGATAAAGTGCTATATAGCTCTATCAAACCTGATAAGAACTGGCGAAGAACCGAAAATAGCTTAAGGGGGTTCTTTAAACCCAACATATTGCACTCTTAAACCAGTGAAGAACCAGTGATGAACCAAAAAGAAGGGTTCTTCAAAGTGCAAAGTGCCATATATCACCCTCAAACCTGCTAAAAACCAGTGACGAACCACTGAAGAACCCGAGTCTTTAATGTTGCCACAAAAGTATTTTGTTGTCACTCTAACATGGCAATTAAAGTTTTTATCATTCTGGAAATGAAGAATCCAGAAAAGCTTGCTTCCACTAGACATCAGTGTAGATCACAATTCACAATTTAAAATGGTCTCCAAATGTTGTCTTGATGCAAATGAAACAAAAAAATGTTTTTATTTTGGAGATTTTTGGAGCACTAAATTGATATGTTCCTCAAAATGTACGATTAAATACTAATACTGTTAAATATTAAAGCGTTAAACAATATGCAGGACAAAAATGACAAGCATAAATCAATAAAACAACGAATTAATAATAAATAGACAACTATATCCGTAAATAAATAAACAAATGTGTAAATAAATCCATACACCAGTGTAAATAAATGTATACATTTTGTGTAGCACCAATTTTAATTTTATTGTTTGTAATAATTGTTATTTTTTCCCATTGTCTTCCATTAAAACAATATTTTTTTATTAAAACACCAAATAATCATACGTTCTTGATCATTGCTGGTCATTCCTGTTGGGGAGAGGTACAATTTTAGATTTTTATTGTTGATCACCAATTAGAACCATTAATCCTTCAGATAGACCAAATGTCATTTCTGACTGGTATATTACTTTCAGATCACTTCAGATCAGATCAGCCAGTAAAAATGCTTCACGCAATCCTTCTCTCTGATTGGTCTAGGAGTAATGAAGTAATTTCTTTAGTGGCTCGTTAATCTACAGTTCTGACTGGTAACTCCATGTTACGGTGTGTTTCCGTGCCGGGTAGTGAGTGAGTGAGAGAGAGGAGAGAGAGGAGAGAGAGAGAATTCTGTAAAAAAAATCTATTTTGCATCAGAATTCTGAACATATTTGTATTATGAACCACAATCCAACAACATCCAAACAATGGATATAGTATAAGAGACATTGGTCAAATTAACTGAAGAATGGTACAAAAGTATATATGGAGAACTTACAATTAAACTAACTCTGTAGTGTGTCTGTGTGCATGGGTGTGTGTGTGTGTGTGTTTTTTTTTTTTTGGGGGGGGGGGGTAACAGGATTTGCAAGTCACTTGATGGTCTTTAAAAGTCTGATGCAAGTGCTGACTGTTTTTTACTGTCTTGTGCAACACTTGCATGTTCTTCTCTTCGTGCATTTTTTTTCTATTTCAAAGCATTTTCCCAAAATATGAGTAAACAGATTTGTCACAAATAATCATTCAATTGGCTGAAACAGAAAAAGAGTTGTGGTCAAATATATACTCAAAAATCACCCTCAAAATCAATGCCTGAAACCTTTCCCAACAACACAAAAGGTTTAATCTTGACCACACATTCAAATAAAGTTTTTTTAAATAGTTAAAACACTTCATAATTAGTCAATCATGCCAGATATACTAAAATAATATCATGTTTAATAAGGTTGTACATTTTAAATGTATCTTAATTATAATAATCTTAATAAAAAGTCACTAAAATGTGAGGTGTGCCAGAATGACTTGATTGCGCTCCTTTAAGACACATATAAAGTACAGTCATATATAAAGAGTTTAGAATACAATCAAATGCTTTAACCATTGCAAAAATCTTAATGCTTCTGCAAAATCATACTAACAGCTGACTTTGAAAGCGAGGCCCCCTGAACAGTACTGGCCTACTTTCCGTTTACACAGAACTGACAAATACAACGTTGAAAAAAGGTGAAAACATTGTTTCGTGCTACTTAACTTTGCATGCTGTCAGCCAAGAACCCCTCTCCTTTGAAAAACCCTGCATTGAACAAGCGGTACAGTGTACCAGAAAGAAGTACAGAGCCACTAATTGGACCAAATTTCAGAGACAACAAAAGCTGTGGCTAGAAAATTCCAGCCCTGGTTTTACAGGGCCTGCTTTGTTACTGGACTGTTTGTTCTCTACTGCTGTGTTAACAGTTATCTTTACGGTGGAGGCCTCTCCCCACCCTTCCACAAAGTGCATGAAAAGTTCTTCAGCACAAACCCATCCGGACCTACAGTGGCATGATCCTGCGATGGTACATTCTGCCTCGGAAATCATCCAGACTCCAAGAGTGACCCAGCAGCTGCTTTACAACCATGATCCCGCACAGCTTTGACTACAACCAGCCAATGAGAAAGCGCTGAGAAGAAGGAGATATGATGGGACAGCTCCCAGAGGAGGATGTGGTGCGTGAATTCACCGCAGAGGAGCTGGAATGCAAGATCTGTTACTGTGCTTACAACTTGTCAAATCGACGGCCAAAGGTTCTTAAGTGTTGCCATTGTCTTTGCTCCAAGTGCTTGGCGAAAATCCTCGATTTGGGCGAATCCTTTCCAAACGCTGTGGTCTGTCCTTTCTGCCGCTACATCACAGACCTTCCAGGAGAGGATTTGAATAGCTTACCAGATGAGTACGATCTGGTTTCATCGCTCCTGTCCAATCAGACGTGGAAGCATCCGAACCTGAATGAGACCCAAGCCGAAATTCTTCTCAGTCCTAGACGCCTCACCTCATTAATGGGACACTCTGGCTCAGCATCCCCAACTTCGGTTCGTTCCAACTACTTGGTGATCACCATCATGGAGCCTCGGCAAGAGTCTGTTGTTCCATCTCCAAGTAGGGAGTACCGTTCCTCCAGCCTGGACTCCATGGCCTCCGTTACCAATAGATGGACGGTGTGGAACTGTGCAACACTGCTGTGCCAGACTTCGGCCCGAGTCCTGGTTTGGTTGCTAGGACTGCTGTACTTCAGCTCACTGCCTCTGGGTGTTTACTTACTCATCATGCA